GCCTAAATTTGAATATTCTAAATTAAAGTTTAGCACTAAAACTGGTTTATTTTAATATATATATCAATATATATAAAGATTAGTGCTAGAACTAGTTTATTTTAAATATATCGATATAATAATAATATTAGTGCTAGAACTAGTTTTATTTTAATATATCAATATAATAATAAAGTTTATAGCCAAAATCATATGATACAAGTTTCTTGGGATGCCCTATATAATATATAAATAAAATGACTATTTTAGTATTTGCTTCATATAAATAAATAATATATCGTATATTCATATGTATATATGAATCTAGGAATAAAACTGGTTTATTGAATTTATAATGCTGAGCTATTTTTAATTTAAAAATTTTGTTTATAAGACATATAGTCTTTACTGGTGCTGCTAAACTGGTGATAACAATATTAAAAATTTTAATTTCAATTAAAGGAATTTATTTTTCTTCTACACATGATATTTATATATTTAAAGTATATCATACATAGTTTTAAAATAAGAGGAATTTTTACATTTAAATTTCTTGTAAAATCTACACAAAGAAAAAATATTATTGATAAATGACATGTTTACAAGTTTAATATAATAATTTAGCACATGTATCCAAGATGATTAAATCATATAATTCTCAAAAAAAAAAAGTCAAATTGCATTATCTTGTTTTTATAACGATACTATAAAGGCAGAGTTTTTTTTTTGAATAAACTGGTCTTAAAAAATCTTGTATCTAGAAACATATCTCATATAAACAGTAAAGATAAATGCAAAGTTAATAATATTCAAAAACATGTATATGTAGAAAACAATAGTACTACTAGTAAACAAGAAAAAGCTCAACTTAATACTAAAAATTTAAGTAATTCAAGTTACGTATAGCAACATTTTACAGTTTTAAAAGATAAAGTTCATGCTTAATGTCAAATATGTGATAGAAAGGGAAAAGCATAAAGTATAAATTTCATGGCACCACAAGCAATATAATATATCATTTAGAAAATAAATATGGAATTACTAAAAAAAATCCTACAGGAAATATAAGTTTTTTTTTTAATACTGTATAATTAATTTAAAAAAAAACTTATTAATAATAAATTTAGATAGAAGACAGAAATATTGAAGATATTTTTGAAGTTGCTCATAGGAAGGCTGCTCGCAAAAAACAACTAATTATTAAAATCACCATGTTAACTTGAATAATTGATGACTGTTAACCACTTTATCTTTTGTGGTCCTAGTCTTTTAAATCATTTATAGAAGTAGGATTGCCTAAATTTAAAGTTCCAAGTAATAATAAAGCATGATGTATGATTATTAACATATATACCTAATTAACTAGACAACTTACAGAATTATTACAAGACACTTATTTTGTTAATATTACCACAGATCTGTGGTCTTCGTGTAATGATAAACCATATATCGAAGTTATAGCCAGATGGAGAGATCCTAAAGATTGGTCATTAAAAGAAGCATTACTAGCTTGTGAAAAATTAATGGAAAGCATACTGGTGAAAATATTAGAGATGCTATAGAGAATGTAATTGAATGATTTCAACTTAAGCAAAAATTAATCGCTGCTACTACAGATAATAGTGCAAACATTGTAAAAGCTATCTGGTTAATGAAGCTTTACATGTGCTATATGCCGCCTACACACTTCATTTAAATGTAATAAAAGGTCTTAACGCTACTGGTGTATTCAAGAAACATGTAACAAATCTTATTTTATTTTTTAATGGTAGTCTTAAGAATACAGAAAATCTTAGAGATGCACAGCACAAGTTAAACTACCAAAAAGTGTATAAAGTTCTTTTAGATATTCAAACTCATTGGAACTCAACATATGTTGCATGGAAACGTTTACTTGAGCTAAAAAATACTACAGTATATTGCCGAAAATAAGCCACCTCCGAAAATAAGCCACTCCCTTTTTTCTTGGAGAAGAAACATAAGAAAATTTGTTATTCCGAAAATAAGCTACCCTAATAATTTCTTAAAATCTGAAAGTAGTCTCTATATATAAAAGTCAAAATTCTATTAAGTAAATCGATAAAAGTCATTTAATAGCGGTTGTTCAGAACATAAAAATATATCTAGTGCTTGGATCTGTTAAAAAATTCGTTGGATAATCTGATAGATATTCGACTATTTTAATCTAGTAGATATTTTTTTGATATATCTATCGGATCATCCGAAATTAGCTTAGAGATTGTGTAATGTAGTATGATGCAGGGCAATTAATAATAAATATATAACAACTGATAATTTAAAGCTTATTTTGATAAATCATTGATGTAATGTACAAAATAAATAAACAAAAAAAAAAAAAAGGATTTGATAAATAATAATAATTTTATTCATTATCTTGTAAACTCTATATACATACCTAATAAATATTAGTGTTACTTTGTGAAGTATTATATATGATTGATAATTTAACAAAAAAAGAAGGAAATAAAAAATCAAATAGCAAACTCCAGTATACTTGGTGTATAAACATTAATTAATCATATTAATAAAATAGAAAACAATAATGAACATATCCAATCTATTGAAAGGGTTCTTTTAAAGGATATTACATACACAACAACTATGCTAGAAAATAATCAATTTAAAGAACCAAAGTTAAGAAGAGGATCAAGAAAACAAAGTTGGATATAGAATCACTTCAAAGATTTACCTACTAACTAAGGGTCCAAAGAATGATGTTAAGAATTAAAAATAGATAAAACTTTATATAATCACATGATTGAAACTGATAGTAGCACAAAGAATTTCAGTGACTATCTTCAGAATAAGTATAGAATTACAAAATTTGGAGACAAGAATCATATATTTCTCAACTAATGAACAATAAAAAATTATATCAAATAAGAGATAATGCTGTCTATAAAGAACAAGCTAATAATGCTTTGGTTGAATTTATAGTTACTGATTCACAGCCATTTTATATGTTAGAAAATTCAGAATTTATAAAATATTCACTAGCACTTGGTCCATCTTACAAATTGCCTAGTAATAAAGGAATCAAAAGTAAAATTTATTTGACTTATGATTGGATGTCAACAGTTGTTTGTAGTAAGTTAAAGGAATCAATGAAGTATTGTGGATTGATGACAGATTTGTAAACAGCATATTGTAATTCAGAATTTATTGGAGTCACATGTTTATATATTGATTCACAATTTAAGATGCAAGAAATTACTCTAATGATTCATGAATTAAAACATCCTCATACTAGTTTTGCAATTGCTAATACTTTAAAATTAATTCTTCAGAACTGGAACATTAATGAAAATGTTTTATAGTAACTACAGACAATACAAAAAATATGATAAAGGCAATCAATGAAATTGAAGAAGTTAATCGACTTGCATGTAGTACATACACTTTACAACTTGTAGTAGGTAAAGACCTTTTGCTAGTTAAGACATTAGTTGCACGAGCAAGACAACTTATACAATTTTTTATGTCATCCAAACAAAGTAAGCAACTTGAATCTGCACAAGTATTATTAAATAAAGAAGTATATAATAATATTAATAAAAATCATGAGTATTTACAAGCAATAGCTGATGTCCCAACAAAATAAGACTCTACCTACTTGGCATGGGTTTGAATTCTTAAAATGAAGAAATAATGCAAATAACAGTAAACTATAATAATGATCCTGGAGTCAAAAAAGATGCACGATGTTTTAAATAAATAATGTTAATACCAAATAAATGGCAGCTAATGAATGATTTGGTTAAAATTTTGCTGCTCTTTGCAAATGCTTGGTGGGAGCAAATATGCTACAATGTCATTTATGTTTATAGCTATCTCTTCATTAAAAAAATTACTTGATACTAATAATAATATTCAAATTATAGTAGATCTTGACAATTTAAATACTGTGTTCGATGATAACTTAGATTTACAAAAAGAAATCGAATTTATTGATAAACCAGAAATTTTAAATATTGAAATGAAAAAAAAATAAACCAAGTTAAAATTAATACTTTACAAAACTGTGAAGGGATGGTAGATAATGTTAAGTCAGCATTGCTTAATGCCTTAAATCATTATTGAGATTATCCAACTCGTAAATCTCTTTTAGCAACAATTCTTGATTTCTAAAATAAAAAAATGGAGTATACTACAGATGATCAAAGGTTTGAAGCTAAAACCTATTTAATGGAAAAATATGAAAACTTTCGAAAATCAGAGTTAACACCACTTAATGCAATACCAATGGATGATAATGAGAAAGAAGAAAATATATTACTAACTGCTATATATACACCAGTTCAATATTCTGAAACAAATAAAGAAATTCAACTTTATCTTGCACTTCTGAAACTTTCAAATGCACTATGTCCATTAAAATAATGGAATAGTCAAAAAAATATTTTACCAATATTAAGTAAAATAGCACGCAAATATTTATGTATTCCTGCTACTTTAACAGCCAGTAAATGTCTCTTTAGTAATGCAGGAAACCTTATAACTATAAAGCGTAGTTGTTTAAATGTAGACTTATTTGAATGAATATTGTTCCTTAAAAGAAATGTAAATTATGTTGAGTCAATATTTCCTCAAGACTAACAAAATAGTTTCATATCGATATATAATGTAATATGTATAAGATAAATAAATTATATAATTGCAAAATATGTATTTAAATTAGCAATTTATTAAATATTTTAATATTTCGCTTAAAATATAAATAAAAAAAGTATATATTGGCAATATTATTATTAAATATAAATAAAATATATAATGGCAGTATTATTAAATATATATTTATGATATTTATTTCAATAGATTTACCAGATTCATCAGATTTCGTTGATCAGATGTAAAAATCCAGTAGATTAAGCTAACAAATAGTCAGATATCTGCAGATCTAAGCACTAGCTATATCGATACAGTATATCTAAAATCTAAACTTCAAACTCAAAATCTGAATAAGCATTTGTTGAATAATAATACTTATTCAAATAAGTATTATTATTCAAATAACTAATAGAATTCAAATAATTATAGTAATTTGAATAACTAATATGATTCGAATAACTATAATTGCTTGAATAAATAATACTTATTTGAATAATATTAGTTATTTGAATGATTATAATTATTCGAATAAGGAATCTATAGGCTTTACAGGTATTTTTGGCGTTTATAGATGAGTGGATTTCTATTTGTAAATAAATAGCATTTTGCTGGTGAAGTAGGCATATATCTCTTAGATTTGATGGTCTTTAAACTACAGTTCAGGAATATAGCAAATTTGAAGATCAGGTTCTAGAAGAATCTACAAACAGGTTCATGCTTCTTTTTTATACATGTATTCGGGCTAAGGTTTTACTAAATTTCATATATTCGTTTATTACTAAACGATATAAAAATAAATAATAAAAGTGACAAACTTCAACAATCCCACAAAATAAGTTGTCTGTAAAAAGATAAATGAGATCATAAATTTATAATTGTTTCTATATATTGTTAAGTGAAAAAATAAAAAAACTTATTTTTGCTAGTATACTAATTATTGAGGCAAATATAAAACAATAGAAACGAATGAACATAGTGTAGTTGAAATAACATGGTGTAGTTAGGATGAACTTGGTGCAGTTATAATGAACGTAGTGTAGTTAGAATAGATGTGGTGTAGTTAGAATGAATATGGTGTGATTAGAATGAACATGGTGTAGTTAGAGTAGTTAGAACGAACGTAGTGTAGTTAAAACATATGTAGTGTAGTTGGAATAAATGTAGCATAGTTAGAACAAACATAGTGTAGTTAGAACAAATGTAGTGTAGTTAGGACAAATATAGTGTAGTTAGAATGAACATAATATAATAGTTGAGATGAATATAATAGTTGGACAAACATAGTACAATATGAATACAAGAATAATAGGTAATTTAGGATGAACACAGCACAAGAGTTGATAGATTTGAGACAAGAGTTAGATAGATTCAGGATGTAGTATAAGAGTTTGGTACATTCATTATATAGCATGAAAATTTGGAACATAGCACGAAAACTAGTCTAGTGTTTGATTTTTAAAATTGTAATTTTAAAATTAATAATAAAAATAAAATTAATTTAAAAAAATTGAATTAAATATATAAATTGTACTTCAGTTATATTCTAATAGTTATATTAAAATTAATAAATAAAAAATAAATTTATTTTTAAAAAAATGAAAAAAAACGAAGTAAAAAACTTAATAGCCAATCTTCAATTTGATTGGTCAGCGATTATTCTTGGATCATGCTTTAAAAATTTCTAGAATCGATTGAGCAATGATCTATTTCTATAAAAGATGTGATTATCACTATCCATTTATGGTATATTTCCGAACTAAACTAATAAAACTTGACTATATATTGGATAAACTTGATTAAAGGTTGAGTTAGTTTACATTAAGATTATTGTAATTTTTATTATAAATCACTAAAAAGATTCTGTTACAAAACTTACTCACTATTCTATTAATACTAGCATGTAGATAAAATTGAGTTAGTTTATATTGAAATTATTATATAATTTCTGTCAAAAATTGCTATAAAATTCTAATACTAAACTTATTTGCTACTATAGGTATATGTGTAGTTAAAGCTTTAGTTGGCTTGTATTAAAATTATCATGAGTTATTGTAAAAAAATTTTTACAAACCTTACTTGCTATTCTGGTAATATCTAGCATGTGGTTAAAGTTAAATTAGTTGCATTAGAATTATTATAATTTCTATTATGAGTTGTTATAAAAAATTTTGAAATTATTGTAATTTCTATTATAAGTATTAAAAATAATTCTGTTACAAAACTTAATTAATACTAGTATATAGTTAAGAAGAATAAGTTAATCTACGATGAAATTATCATAATTTCTGTTAAAAAAGTTGATATAAAATTCTAATTCGCTACTGTAATATATATATTAAAGATTAGTTAGTTTGAATTAGAATTATTGCAATTTTTATCATGAGTCATTATAAAAATTTGATACTGATTTTACTTGCTATTCTGGCAATACACTATATATTTAAAGTAAAGTTAGTTTATATTAGAATTATCTTACTACTTCAGTAACACAGATATGAATTAGTTGTATTAGAAGTATTGTAGTTCCTACTATAAGTTGTTGTAAAAAATTACCGTATTTACCCAACATGTAGACCCCTGTGCAATGTACTCTGTAGGCCTCTGTATAGGCCAGGTTGGGCCAAATATCAGTACACCTGAGCCCTACCCGTATATATAAGGGTCTAATTTTCTGGATCCTGCCCCACCCTCGGGCTTAAATTTCAGTATTCTTACCCAGCTCATTAAGTTGCGAATACCCTCCGAACTACCTGTGGACTCTATCCATGAGTGCCACCAAGAGAAAATCTGCATCGGGTTTTCAATTATGTTTTGTACCGGGCATATTCTCTAATAAATTAAATAGATTATGTCCGGTACAGAATATA